AAATTTGCCTTGTGGGAACAGCAGCTGGTCAGATAAACTCCAAGGGAAGATGGGAAACGTGACAGAAATCAGAGGTTGCCTGATTTGGTGTGCTGCAGAGCCTTGCCCTGAACTGAGCCCAGCTCTTGAACAGGCTGGTTGTTTGTCATGGCAAACGGGCATCGTTTTAGTGAATGGCAAACGGGGAGCATCCTGGCACACCCAGGGCATTGTGGGCATGTTGACTTTCCATTGGAAAATGATTAAATAGTCATTGTCAGTGTTTTACAAGTATATAACGATCACCAAGCCCCAACGACTCCCACAGCAAGACACAGTCTGAGATGTAACAATTCCCGGAGGCGATTTGCTCGGGATCAGGCAGACCAGGTTGAAGTGACCATGAGGGTGTCTTTTGTTTGATTATGTAACTCTTCTTTATTGTATTTTTCAGTGTATGTCAGGGCGTTCTGAGCTCTGGAGGGACATACTTCGGGGCAGAAATAACAATAAAGATCGGGGAAGTCATGGCCGTGACTTACGAAGCTTTGCAGAATGATTGTAGGACTGTAATGGAACCATTGAGATGTGTGCATTCATCTATTGGGTAGTCTCTGCAAGACTGTATGGTTGTAAGTATCAGAGGGGTAGCTGTGTTAGTCTGGATCTGTAAAAAGCGACAGGGTCCTGTGGCACCTTATAGACTAACAGACGTATTGGAGCATAAGCTTTCGTGGGTGAATACCCACTTCGTCGGAGGCGTGCCTATTCACCCACAAGAGCTCTTGCTCCAATACGTCTGTTAGTCTGTAAGGTGCCACAGGACTCTTTGTCGCTTTGTATGGTTGTAGCCGTTCTGCTTCCTTCTCGCTGCTGTTTGTTCCCTTTCCTGATTCTGTCACATCTGAATGTGGATAGTTCGTTTTTCAGGGCACGTCCATTTCTTTCCTTCGGCCTGTAAAGCGCCTACACAGCAGCTCTTGGATATTTTACAGTGAGAAGTACATAGCGAGATTCTCCTGCACAATTGTGCTGGCACAAACCATCTCCTTCCTCCCACTCATGGCTGCACATGCCTGTGGCAGCAACAGCAGCAGTTGCTTACTAGGAAAAGTAATATTAGGAAAGTGTATGATCTGTTCTAGCTGTCTTAATTAAATTTAGCAGCCGAAAGCCAGGCGAGCCAGCACCATGTGACTAGCCAGCTGTCTGCAGGACGGCAGTAAGGGCAGTTCTTGACACCAAAGAGCCATGCACAGTGGTTTGAGCACCACTGACCTAGCATGCTTGGGGCTCCAGACATCAGCCTTGTGTGGACTCCCCAGAGTGTTGCTAAGGAGCAGTTTGATCCTGTGGCCAGCCCTTTCCTTGTATTTTGTCAGGTTAATGCATGGTCAGTAAATACGTTTTTTAAACTGGCTGATGTGCTGTGTGCAAAGCACTCCATTGAATATCAGTGGGAAAGCCTTCGCTTTAAGACAAAAGACCTGATGTTAGCAATAGTGTCATTGTGGCTATGTGCAAACGGCGTTATTACAGCTGCTAGCTCCGTGAGCTGGAACACCGCAGATTCCCCGTGGGCGTTTCTTTACATACATCCCTCTTTACTGTTCCTTAGGTTTTGTGCCTCGTGCTCTGCCCTGCTCTAGAGGACAGAATTAAACCGTGTTTGCTGCGATTCCACGGGCATCGGCGCTTTACCTGGAACACCTTGCAACCATCCTGCTGGTGCTGCCCCTTCCACATACGCCAATGCCGTGGGCTCCAGTGACTATGGGGCTGTCATCCCACTTGTATCCGTGCCTGCAGCATTTCCTCTGTTTCCCTGTCTTGTCTTTTATGTATGTGTTGATTCGCAGCAAGATTTTAAGAGAACTTATTAAATAAAATACAGTAGGATGCATATTATCCAACCTGCTTGGGCAGTGCCCGGCTGCCAGGCTGATCAGGGGCTCGTAGACTCAGGAAGGCTTGACTGGCTATAGCGCTCAGCATTGGGTCAGGATTTCATGTTCTGTTGGTCGTTGGCTTCCCTTTGGGTATATCGTCAATACAGGGCTAACCTGGGTGATTGGTTCCTAGGTCTGAGCCCCCAGGTTAGCCTAGTCCAGGTGTGAGCAGCCACACTGCAAAGCCCTATCCGACGTACTGTGTCCTCTCCGGGGCTGCGCTCCTCAGTGTGTATCACTAGGACTTCTGGGGGCACCTCCCATGGCTCTTTGTGCTGAGAAGCTCTATGATTCTTTCCCAGTGAATTGTGGGAGAACTTGTCTGTCCTTCTGGTCACACAAGGGCAATTTTGGGTGGACTGGAGGACTATCAGCACTTGAGTTATTTAGCTGGCCTCCTCACTCAAAGTGGGCAGGTTACCAGCCCAAGCGAAAGCCTCACTCGGCCTTTAGTCAAGCCAGCTAGCCTGGGTTGAAACTTGAAAGCACTGACCTGGCATGACTGGGTTTTGTGTATGGACCAGAGGGGTTTAGGGACCACATCCGGGTCAGAGCAGTGAAGACTCACTTGCGCATATGAATCCCATTGGCTTCAATGAGACCACTCCCTGGGAGTAAGAGGAGCCGGGTTAGCTCTAAAGTCGGCCAGTTGACAAAGCAGCAAATTGCTTGCTAGACAGGAGGGCAGGTTGGCAGCTCATTGGAGAAAAGGAATGGGATAGCCAGGCTCCAGGTGGCACAAGGTGACATGCTGTGGTTGCCTAACCTTGGGAACTTTCAGAACCAGAGAGTTAGAAGGGATCACAAGGGTCAGCTAGTGTAACCCCCATGTTAGACTCTCAGACTGCATTCTGCAGGACTTCTTTGGGAAGTTCTTCCATGAGACCATCATTTCTGGTTTCAGAGCAATATTTTAAAGAGCAACCATGGCAATGCTGTGGCCACAAGGGCTAGCTTGTTCCTGGGATGCGTAAACAGGGAGATCTTGAGTAGAAGTAGAGAATTTATTTTACCTCTGCATTTGGCACTGGTGTGACGCTGCTGGAATTCTGTGTCCAGTTCTGGTGCCCACAACTCAGGAAAGATGTTAATCATTTGGAGAGGGTTCAGAGAAGAATTATGAGAATGAATATAGACTTAGAATATCTGCCTTAGATTGAGCTCCTTGAGTCCATCACTATATTTAGCTTAACACAGAGACGGTTAAGGGGAGACATGATCACAGTCTGTAAGTACCTATGTGGGGAACAAATATTTAATAATGGGCTCTTCAATCTAGCACAGAAAAGTCCAATGGCTGGAAGTTGAAGTTAGACAAATTCAGACTGGAGATTAGGCATAAATGTGTAACAGTGAGAGTGATTAACCAGTGGAACAATTTACGGAGGGTCGTGGTGGATTCTCCATCACTGGCAATTTTAAAATCAAGATCTGATGTTTTTCTCAGAAATCTGCCCTAGGGATTATTGTGGGGCAGTTCTCTGGACTGTGCTGTGCAGGAGGTCAGACTGGATGATCACAACAGTCCCTTCTGGCCTTGGAATCTATGAAAAAAATCCATATACAGACTCCAATCTTACTTTAGAAATGCTGTCAAAGAAATTAGTGGGAAGAAGGATTCTAGTGAGCAGTTAAAAATAAATTAAATAAATGGAGATATCCTATCTCCTAGAACTGGAAGGGACTTCGAAGGTTATTGAGTCCAGCCCCCTGCCTTCTCTAGCAGCACCAAGTATTGATTTTGCCCCAGATCCCTAAGTGGTTCCTCAAGGATTGAACTCACAATCCTGGGTTTAGCAGGCCAATGCTCAAACCACTGAGCTATCCCTCTCCCATTACATTAGGATAATGTAATGTAACTGGACCTGAGTGTGATCAAAGGAAAGCAAGTCACTGCGTCATTCGGTCTTGGGGTTCCTGACATGAAACCACCCTAACATCAGCTGCTTATGTCATTTTCAGATTCTTGTAACTTTTAGGGTGCAGAGTGAGGGAATATGGGATGTCGGAGCAGTGAAGGGGAATATGGAAAGGCCTTGGAATAGTGCAGTGAGGAGGGGGGAGGAGATTGGGGAGCAGAGAATAAATAAGGATGGGTGGTAAAGGGAGGGGGAGGATTAGAGGGGAAATGGGAGTGTGTGGTGGGGGGGTGGATTAGGGGTAGAGGCGCCTGTCAGCCCCATATTCTCCCTTTCCATTAAAGATGTGTTGAGGGGGGCTGTGAGGTGGAATGGAGGGGTCAGAGTTGTGCTATGGGGAATGTGGGGGGCTTAATCTGTCTCCCCAAACCTCGCACATCTGTTATTCCCCCGTCTCCCCTATGTCTGTCCCCCTGATCAAAAAATGGCCCCACTGGCTCCGTGCTAATTCCCACACCGTTCCTTCCTCCTCTCCCCAGCTCTGCCTGCAGGTCCCAAGCCGAGGCCGGCCTCTCCATGGGGAGTAGGGTGGACCCAGGCTGTGCTGGACAGGCCGAGGGGAGGGGAGAAGACAATGCAGTGGCAGTGAAAGGACTAACATGTAGCCAGCCATTACCAATAGCCATTGATGGACCTGTGCTCCAGGAACTTGTCTAATTCTTTTTTGAAACCAGTTACGTTCTTGGCCTTCACAACATCCCCAGCAACAAGTTCCACCAGTTGATGGATTGTTGTGTGAAGAAATACTTCCTTTTGTTTGTTTTAAACTTGCTGCTTGTTAATTTCATTGGGTGAGCCCTGGTTTTTGTGTTATGAGAAGGAGCAAATAACACTTCCTTATTCGTTTTCTTCACACCAGTCATGATTTTGCCGCCCTCTATCATATCCCCCCTCAGTTGTCTCTTTTCTAAGCTGAACAGTCCCAGTTTTTTTAATCTCTCCTCACATGGAAGCCGTTCCATAGCCCTCATCATTTTTGTTGCCCTTCTCAGTACCTTTTCCAGTTCAAATATATCTTTTTTATAGATGGGGCGACCAGAACCGCATGCAGTATTCAAGGTGGGGCATTCCATGGATTTATATAGTGGCATTATGGGATATTTCTGTCTGGTTATACATTTCCTAATGGTTCCTAATGTTTCTTGACCTACAGGCACAAGAGACAAAGAATCAGCTTACTGAAGCAGAGGTGGAGGTGGTCACCATGAGGAGCAAATCTAGCATGGCACAGAAAGAGGTACTGTCAATAGTGAAGGCAACCTAATGGGACCCCCCCCAGAAGGGACAGCCCTATGCTGCCCGTGAGCCCTCTTCAGGGTCACTCCGGCCTAGTGCTAACGTGGGAGCATTGACTCTAGTTCTCTGAACCAGCCGTGCTCCCTTTGGCCTTGGCTAAGAAACAGGAAATGCTGCCAACATTAGAGAGCTGGAGAAGTGGGAGCGAGGCAGGGCAAGTATCTCCGTTCTCAGGGCCGCCCACCTGAGCTCTTCCCAGACATGGAATCCCGTCCTCTGTGCTGCAGTTGAGTTTCAATCCTGGCCGTTCAGGCAGCCAGAACGTTCCCGATTCCCCAGTGCCAAGGAATCACGAAAGTGTGACTGAGCCCTGGGTGCCTCCAAACCTGCTCAACACAGAGATCTTTGCTCCCGTGGAGATTTATGGGAAATGAGGAGCAGACAGCGCAGTCCAGCGCCCCTGTGTCCCGGGGGTGTCGGGTGTGGGATGGGAGCAGGGAGCAGGAAGCGTGTCCCCTGTGTCTCGGGGGTGTCGGGCGTGGGATGGGAGAGGGGAGCAGGCAGCGTGTCCCCTGTGTCCCGGGGGTGTCGGGTGTGGGATGGGAGCAGGGAGCAGGAAGCGTGTCCCCTGTGTCTCGGGGGTGTGGGATGGGAGCAGGGAGCAGGAAGCGTGTCCCCTGTGTCCCGGGGGTATCGGGTGTGGGATGGGAGTGGGGGGCAGGCAGCGCAGCCCAGCTCCCCTGTGTCCCGGGGGTGTCGGGCGTGGGATGGGAGCGGGGGGCAGGCAGTGTGTCCCCTGTGTCCTGGGGGTGTTGGGTGTAGGATGGGAGCAGGGAGCAGGCAGCGTGTCCCCTGTGTCCCGGGGGTGTCGGGCATGGCATGGGAGGGGAGCGGGGGGCAGGCAGCGCAGCCCAGCGCCCCTGTGTCCTGGGGGTTGGCTCAGCTCACGTGTGAGGAGTCGGACATGCAGTCACATGAACAGGAAAGCAGGTTCCTGGCTATTGATGCCATTCTGAGAGTTTTCTCTTTTCTTTTTTTTTCCACATTCGTTTTTTTTCCCTCATTCTCTTGGAGGGACCCTCTCCCAAGAGCTGCAGGGCTTTCAAGTGACCTGCTGAGTCCCTGGCAGGGGTAGTGAGATCATTCTCATTTGCAGAGTGCAAACCATACAAGACTTCCCTGTGTATTGTTTCTCCCCTGTAGAATCCGAGCATGCTGCTGATCATTTGTTTGTTGATATTCTGCAGCAGCCCGACATGCAGTGTGTGCTCTAGACAGTATCCAAATGTGATTAGAGCTAAAGGACCAGTTTCCTATGAACATAGAGAGCTGGAAATTATCATTAGAACTGCAGAGAAATAACCTTTAGGGCTCATTAAAATTCTATAAACAGAAACTCTCTTCCTGTTTTCCCTTCATGAATCTAGCCCAGTGTTGCAGACCCTCAATGTGGGGTGGGTTGGGGCTCCGCTCATCAGGTTCAGGAAGAGATTTTGCATACAACATTTTTGCATTTTCCTGCCCCTTGGGATGTGTGCTGTAGATCGGAGAAGGCAATGTCACTGTGGAGTTCTGGTCGCCCCCAGTCCTGTCCCTGCTTCTGGCTGTCTGGAGGAGAAGTGAAATTGCTACGGCTTGGTGCAGTTCAGGGAACGAGAGAGAGAGGGTGGGGGGCCTTGTTTACTGCATGGTCTTGGCCTCTGATGAACAGTGGGAGTCAGAAGAGAAAAGAGAAGCTTTGCAGGATGCTCCAGACAGCTCTCTGCCCCCATGTGATGTGTTGGGGTGTATTGTTTGTATTTGCTAATTACAGCAGCCCCTCCCGTTTCATTGCGTCTGCAGCAGTTCCCCTTGCTCCCTGCGCCCACCCCAAGGATGGAATATTCCTTCAGCTCCTGTGCCCAACTGGGGAACCGGATCCCTTTGCCAGGAGGTGTCGCCTTGTGCAGGTTGGGCTGAGGGCAACACTTGCTTTCCCATGGAATATTAATGAATCCAATGAGGGGAATGAAACCACTGATGACACAGAACCTTCTTATTATTAAACAGATGGGAAATTGATGTTTAAAACACAAATTCCATAATCATATTACTTAAACTATTTGGCAGGGAAACCCATATGAGCACAAACGCCAGAGATGCCTTTGATCTGTGGCATGTTGCCTTTGGGGTATTTTCCGTGACTGATAAAGGCTTTGCTTAGCCCTGGACAGTTTCCCTAGCTTCATAAGCAAGCGATGGAAATGATAAAACCAGAGCCAAAACCTCCCAGTTGGGCTTTTTCTGTCTCCTTGGGGACTCGGGCAAGTGCATGAGCCTCTTACACTCTCAGCGGTGCTGAGGATTTGGTATGTTTCACCCAGTGAGACACCCACACATGGTTTCCTATAAACAGACACATGCATGTACGCTGCAAGACTGCAAGCTCTCCAGTTATTGGAAAGACTCCGGTGCTTATACTTATGGGCTATTATGGCTGCTTATAAAGTATTTATCAGCGGTGGCATTTCCACACTCTCGCTCTCTGTGCAGATGAAATACGCCAGGATGATTACAGGTTAAAGCTCCAGTTGTTGGGGTTGTTTTGCACATTAAGTATGAAATAAACCCTTTGGTCCCTGCTTTTGCTGTTGGGTGAGATTAGAAGATTGCAGCATAGGTGTGAGTGCAGCTGTAAATATTTAGTTGAGGCATCTGCCTGCTAATGAGTTTTCAATGAGCAGAATCGGGGGCAATAATATGGTGGTTTTCAAGAGCAAACAAGTGCTGTGTGTTACTGCAGAGTCCCATTTCCACAGCCCAGCAGCTCCCATTGTCCCATCTCCTCCTGATTGTTGATCAGGCATTAAGAAAACATGTCCCTCCCTCCCTCCATCCCTCCCAGAATAAAGAGATCGGGGGAGGTTTTAAATTCCTCTGTGTTTTTTTATTATTATTATTCTTTCTCTTCAGAAGAACACAACTAGGAAATGATTGGATCTTTGACAGAACAAAGGTATTTTTGATGGGCTCTGTAATATAGTGTGTTAATGCGTCCAGTCCCTCATTGTCTGCTGTCTGATCCCATCCTTCTGCCAGACAGTCACTGCGGGATGAGTCACTTTTAATGTCTGATAATCAAGGTGAATTTTCAAAAAGCTGCCATTTTGGAATTATGCACTATATCACCGTCTCAGGGACAAGGAGGGCAGGTGGGCCAAGGGAAGGCTAAGAGAGACACCTACTGCCCCTTTGAGGTACTGCAAAATGTAAGCTGGAACGTGTCATTCCAGCAAGACATACATAATGGGAAGTAGACTGTGTTAATTACAAATTAAAAATAACTTCAGCACTAATGAAAATTGTATACACAGGAGAAAAAGTCTTAATTAAAATAGACTAGGTGCTGGAATTAGCTATCAACCCTTTGAGCGGGGGGGAATGGATTCTGTACCTACAGAATATATTGTGGTCCATGAAATAACATGGTCCAAAGATCCACATGGAAAAAGGATTTCTCCCCCCAAGCGCTGGTCAGCAGCCATGCCTGTGGAAATGAGGTCTAGCTAAGGCACCTACCCAGAGGGAATTGGGGGGCATGAAGAAGGAAGGATTTTGGACCCTTTGTGACCTAGTCTCTGCTGTTCACACGCTGAAATGCCTAGTAAACAAAGGCTGACTAAAGGCAATGTGGTGGCCGCTCTGTCCAAGGTGGCCACACTCCCGCATGAGGAGAGATGTGTAGCCAATCACCCGCAGTCACAAAGAGACGTTTCTAGTGGCTTTTCTAAGCCAGTGGAGCTGTTCCGTTATACAATAACGGCGTGAACACGGAAGCACAGGGATGGCTTCTCTGTTTATTGTTCAGAGAGCTGGGCACCTATAAATAGTAGCAGGATGTTTTGACTAGGGTCCTGGTCTCCACTGAGCTATGCTGGGGGGATTTAAAGCTGAAGTTTCAAAGCCTTGTGCCATTGTGTGCTGAGCTTCTCCGCATGGCTCTGGGTCTAAAAGCACAGGCATTCCCCTGGCTGTGGCAGTGGTGGGTCAGCGCTGGGTACCTGGGTGAGCCTTATCTCCCCTCTTCTCTTCTGAGGAAATGCTCTCTCAAAGGGCTACTCAAATGGATTCCTGCATCTCTCTCTAGCAAAGAGACTTCAGTCCCTGCATAGCATCCTCTGCAAAAGCCCTGCTAACAGACCACAGCACCTTGTTCGTCTGTGGCGGACACCCTCCTCCTCCCCCTCTGCCAAGCCAGGACATTACAGCCAGGAGCCGCTTGCACAAAGCAAGAGTGTGTATGTGCAGGCTCCCTGTGGAGACCCCACTGCAGAGTTTTAAAATGAGGATTTTGCACACCTGGCACTTCCTCTGCTCAGGTGCCACATGGCTGATATTCTGCCCACCTCGTTCATCTGTGCAGGCAGGTTTGCTGAAGACTCCTTCCTCCTCCCCGTCCCCCCCTCCCCCCGCTGGTCAGATGCTGCATTGCACCGCAAGCCTATTCCCTGGCTCCATCAGCCAGCGCAGAAGCTCTCTCTTGTCTCTGAGGACTCTACTCCTCCTCCTCCTCGTGGAAAGCTGCAATCTTTTCCCTTGGTACGAATCAAAATTGGGACAAAATCTTAAGCCCCTGGCAGCCTGGCAATCCCTGTTGCTGCCCCGGCAGCGATTAGGATGTATCTGCACTGCAGCTTTAACTCGGGTGATCGGCTCCCAGGTGGGAGCACCTAGGTCAGCCTAGCCCAGGTGTGAGCAACCACACTGCAAACCCACACTCAAGTTACTGTGTCTTCCCTGGCGCTGCACTCCCTTGTGTGTGTTGCTAGGACCTGTGGGCACAGCCCATGGTTCTTTGCATTGCACTGCGCTAGGAGTCTGTCCCAGGGAGTAGTAGGAGAACTTGTCTGTCCTTCTGGGCACATAGGATGAATTGTGGGATGTCATTGGAGGGTCATGAGTATTCCACTGATTTAGCCTGTATCTTCACTGCAGAGTGGACAAGTTACCAGCCCAAGTGAA